ACTCACAAAATGCCCTCCCCCTCCACCTTTCAAAACAGATCTGTGCCCTTCCCTGGGTATGACATTAAGCTCCATCGAGTCGGCTCCTGATGTATGTCTTAGTGACTGCTGTTTGTTTTTAGGATGTGATCTGGTTTTTCATGTACATTTTTCGTGATTATGACTATTCTGGATAAAGAATTTTTTGAGCAAAGGTGGATTCAAGCCCCCCCCCCCCCTTCATTTTTTTAAGGAAAAAAAAAGAAAAATATATTCAAATTGAAGTGCGAGAGTATATTCAAATTGATGTGCGAGAGTGTAATTTCCGGCCATCTAGAGATGCCCTAATCATAAATTTTCTTACCTCAGCCCCAACCATGGTGGGGCTGAGGTGGGTTGTTTTCTCGGTCTGTGAAAGTCCCTCTCCTGGTTCACCTCTCTTTCGAATTCCTGGATCTGCCACTGTTGATTTATTATATAATTATGTTTGCGCTTATTTATAATGCGTCTATTGCAATTTTCACTTTATCCTCTCAAACAGTCCTAAGAACGTTCAGAGTGCGCTACTTCACAGGAGGATTCGCCCCCCTTGACCCCGCCGGGGTCATACGTAATTCGCATAACGGCTCCCCCCCCCCTTCAAAATCCTGGCTACGTCCCTGCACCCCTCCCCCCACGGACCTGGGCCATAGCTGGCCACGACGGAACTGAGCCGGGGTTGTGTCCCTGTAGTGCCTAGACTATACCTAAAATTAACCCGTAGATACGGTAACCGACTTCGTAAGGGCCGCCAGAAATTTTACACGTTAGACTCTTAGCCGGGGTTTTGGGTGTAGTATACTGTCAAACCGGGTCGTCCTACCTAGCCGGGTCGTCCATTACATATGATCAAATTTTATACAATGCTTTTTTAAAATTTATTTTTGCATGGTCGAGAGGGATGGGTACAAGTTAGACGGGGCAAACGGCGAACGAACGAAATAAAGAAGCCAAACTTTATTTAGTAGATTCATTGGAGTCGCGGCTCTCCCCTTTGTACACAATGTTAGTATTTTAAAGCTTGTTTCCTACTAGCCAATAAACATTTCTTAGAATAATCAAATTTTCACTCTAAACGATAATGCAAAAAAAAACATTTTCGGGTTTATAACGGTTTTACCGCTCAGGATGTGGACTTAGCAAACTCATTAACCAACAAATCAGCTTAAATTCATCTTAAATTCATAAATCCCTGGCTAGGACTTTTAAGATACAGAAGTGTTTTATTGTAAGGTTCGGTTGTTTTGTTTTTTTTTTCCTTTTATGTTTCTAATACTACTCTAGTAATAAAAGAAAATTACGATAATGTTGGTGATAATGATATAAGTTAAGCGTAATAAGCTATAGTTAAACTTAAGTTTTCCTGGGTATGACATTAAACTTCATCCAGTCGGCACCTCACTCATAGTAGCCTATGTCTTATAGTGACTGCTGAGTTGGGGGGGGGGGGCATAAATTTGTTTTCAGGATGTGATCTGGTTTTTATAAACATTTTCGTGGTTACCGTGGCGTATCCAGGTGGTGCTGGGGGATAGAAAAATTGTCAAAAATAACTGACATAAATTTTAATATCAAAGTGTATTTTCCGGCTTCCAGAAGTTCCCCAAGTCTTAAATTTACTTCACTCAGCCTCAACCATGATGGCGCTCAGGTGGATATAGTAACTTTCATAAGTTTTATGTACTAAAATGTCATTTTCCGGCATCTAAAGTATCAATTTCTTACAATTGTCTTACCCCAGCCTCAACCATGGTGGGCGCTGCTCAGGTGGATAGTAGTTTTTAAGTATTCAAGAGCCGTTTTCGGGTAATTTTCACTTTATCGGTAAAATGTTTGTCAACAATCTCTCAAACAGCCCTAAAAACATTCAATATGCGCTCCCTCAAGGGGCTTCGGCCCCAGGACCGCAACCGTAGCGAGGGGGACACCCCCTCCCCAATCCAACCCCCGCTCGGTGGTACTACATACCTCGCAAGACGGCTCCCCCTCTTTCAAAATCCTCGCTACGTCCCTGGTTGACATAATTACTGACTTAGTATTGCATTCATTAGGAGATTCATTGGATTTTTTTGGGGGGGGGGGGGGATGAATGCGTTTAAGTATCTGCTTGTTTTGCAGTTGTCGCACATTAGCCTCTTTCCAGAGCGCAACCAGTTATAATTATCGAATACAGGATGAGTGTTGTCGGGCATTATACATTTTTGCTTTTTCTGTTACTTTTCTTGCACATATATTTTCCATAGAGTGAATTATTTTAGATATACTGTCTGAGTGTATTACCAAATAAAACATATACCGTATATTTAGCTCTGACAAATAGTAAGTTGTAAGTACTAGATAGCCTGTCTTGTTTTGTCTCTTCTGTACGGTATATAACATCAGTTCTCGGCATTAGTCCTGGGGCATTGGTAACCCACTTAGGCCTACATTTTGTGCAAGTTATCGTTCATAAATAATGATTTATTTTATATATTAGTCTACGTAATTGTTCTTCCCACTAGCTTAAATCAGTGGGATTTTTAACTATAGTTGCGGAATAGTGCGGAGGTCATGATGTCCCTCCCACTTTGAAATGTCAGGGTCATGTCAACCTGACATCAGTGTTAATCATCAATCTTGATTTTGTTTGGATTGTGAATACTGTA